CATTGTTACTGTAACATTCTGTTTTTCTTTTTACAGTGATTAGCTATTATCATTGACTTATGTCAAAAACGTCATATTAATCTGATATTAAACTTAAACCAATGCTAGGTTAATTACAACTTGACCATGCATGTGCACGCCTTGAGATTGATATGAAAATTAAACTTGTAATTAAACTATTAAAAAATTAAACTTTTTTAAATTTATACATAAAATTTTGTTTTCATTCTTGATGATTGCTTATTGAGCCGAAAGCTCGACAATAAATAAAATTGTTGGAGCATCGTATAACATTAATATGAATCAAAATTTTTGAAAATAACGAATAAGAATATTAAAATTTGTGTTTCTGACATCCTTATCGCCACTACTTTGCCCGAAGATAAAGCAGACACACTTTCAGAAACTACTGAGACTACTTAAATTCCGGTTTTCAAAGTCATTAGTTATTGAAAAGAACACTTGATTGAACAATAATAAAGKTCAAAACCTTCTTTACAATGTCAATCACAATATAAATTCGATATTTATCTAAAGTAAAGAATTAAAATTCTCCCTGCGAACTCAAAATGAAACCCATTTTTTATGCAATTGACTTTTGTTGTTGTCTTTACAAGTGAATAAGACGTCAATAAGGTTGTCTTTATAAACCACGTACATGTAAAAATATTGAAGACGAGGTTGTGAGGACAGAATYCATAATAATTAGAGAGGTTTAGCATGACGTTGATGGGAAACGGCAGAAAATATCACGTGACCTGCTTTTTTGAGTTTAACGTTGCAGTTTCAACGCGAGAGCGGGTTATTTTGAGGTTGCCATAATCGTGAAAAGCCGCTCTTTCAAATGACTACCAAAAGCAAAAGGTCGGGCACGAAATTCTTAGGTTATTGGTTCAGCTCTGCCGTTAGCCGTTTGCCGTCAACGTGATGCTAAAACTCTCTAAATAATAATAATAATAGCTACATCATCAGCAATCGCATTCTGGGAGATCAAGGAATTCTTTGAGTGTGAACAATGATTTTCGCGGGTCCCCATGGGGATGGTAGATTTCCGTCCACGCTGCAGTTTCCTCGCAAGGTTTCACAAATATTTGTGTCGATCTGACATGGTTCTTCATGGAATCACTATACGGCTTGTATATATTCCCAATAGAACTTTTCATTTCTCGGAAACCTCTTGAGCTTCTACTGCTTGCCTCTTCTGGGSTCATYTCCTCTAAACGCTCCTCCTCGCAAACGCTTAGTAGTTGGCATGAAACCAACYTTGATTTTGGCTTCGCACTACTGATTGGATTGACCTTTTTGTCTTTGCTGAACTTCTGCTTAAAMGAATCGATAAAATTTGAGAATGTTTTGAAACGCTTTGAGGAGCCGGAGGTGGTTGGTGTTGTTGGTTCCTGGTCAGAATGGGAACATTCACTTCCAGAAAAGGATGATATCTCGACTTCTTCGAATTCATTTTTGTTTGGTGCTGTGTGATTGTCATCAAAGCCCTCGATTAAGGAAGGAAGCATTGGAGATCTGGTTTTTCCATTTTCGAGTCTAGAAGATCGAAGGCATTCAGGTTCACTATATTCCTCAGAGTCGTTACCAGGCCACTTCGAGCTATGCATGAGACGCCGGCGACTTTGCATACCTGGGGAAAAAGGTAGTCTAAAATCAGTTTATGKCATTGAGTTTGACTTCAGTAGCGTATTTAGGGAAGGGGCCTGGGGGGCCGGTGCCCCCAATTTTTGGGACAAATTTAATTCTCGTACATTTTTTTTAAACAAATAAATCGTAAAAATGTAAAATAACAAATGAATTCACTATTTTCCTAATTAATTCGCTATTTTTAATGRAAAATTCCTATTTGATACATTTAATAGTATGGACAGGACACCACAACAGCGTGAGCCAATTACTGCGGACACTGTACTCTCACACTYACTACCTCTACATTAAGTATTTTAGTACACARCACTCCTCACATGTTGATTTTTACTGAGGGAGGAAAACCGGAKKACMYGGAGAAAAACCCTCGTGGCAAGGGAGAGAACAACACATCAAACAAACTCAAACTCACATATGGTCCGTTTCGGGGAATCAAGAGGCTAGAGAGGGAAGCAGCTTTCCGTCAAAAGTTCGTGCCATTTTATTGCCAGCAAATACCTTTGCATATTTGCTGATGATTTTGAACTCAAGGACACCAGAGTACTTTACCTGTTAGATCGTGGCATGTTTCATGATCGTATCTACCCATCGTGGAATTTTAAAGAAGCGAATATGCTTGTAGAAGACTTCAACACAATCGAGAGAAGAAATGTGATGGTTTCTCTGCA